TATATATATATATATATATATATATATATATATATATAATTAAAAAACACACACACACACACACACACACACACACATATATATATATATATATATATAATATATATATATGTTGTTGTCCCAAAACGACCTAACCTAACAATTCAGAATAACTGAACATCTTACTTTGAAAGCTGAGTTTAGGCAACCACATTATTCTTGATTAGAAAGAGCATTATGTTATTACTCATTTGACGTTTTTACCTTTCTTTCTCAACTCAGGGGATGAAACCTCCATTACAGCAGATAGAGAGCCACCCATAGCCTGAGCCACAGTTTCTGGTAGATCAAATGTGTACTGAGCTAAGGAGACAGAATTCATTATTGATCTCTGGATACTGATTTAACTGATTTTAACTGATTTTTCAAGTTCACGTTTGATTTATTGACATGACAAAACTACAAGTGTGTTAAAGCATTGCAACAACTATCTATATGATGAAAGTTCAATTTTAACTATATAAGATACTAAATACCAGTATAAAAATAAAGAAGAGAAAATGTCAATTATCAATTAATATTATAAAAAATAAGTAAAACAGGACATATTTGATATGTGCATGTGACAGAAAAACAACAAAAAAGTTAATTAGTAAATATATCTCTGTAATTAAGAAGGAACAAAAGACCAAAATGCTGATCAAGTTTTTTGATGTTCTCTTTACACAAAATTAATAGCTCAACTGCAATTACTCAGTTTATAGATCAAAATATTTTACCTATGTTCACCAGTGTGTGTTGCTGTTTTAAAATGTGCCCACATTCGTTAACAACTAAAAAATGAGTTGAACTGGTTTACCCTGGCAGCGTGGATCTGGTCCGCTCCATTCTCTTACACTCAGACACTCTCTCACATCAGGCCCCAGCAAGTCCAGGCCTGACTGACAGCGGTATTTCACCTTGTCCCCAATGCGAAAACGGCTGCCAGAGCGCATGGCTCCAGGTGGAGTGCCCGGATTTCTGCAGTCCTCAGCTAGAGAAAGATAGGGGGTCATAAATGTGTTCTCATGCTTCATTACCGATCAGATAAACATCCCCACATAAGCACAGCTTGACACAGTAACAGCTATTAAAGACTAGATTAGAGCCCACAGCACAGATAACTGAATTTTCCTCACTTCTTTTTAATGAATCACCTTGATATAATATGTAAACACTGTTAATGTTGCAAAATATAACACACACTAGTCCAAACGGTCCATTTAGAGAAAAGAGCCCATTTTGAATTCAGTTATATGGCACAAAATCTGACAAATGTACACATATTTAGTCTACAGCAGTTTAGATTCGCCCATTTACACTGACGTTATAAAAGTGTTTCAGCCTGTACTGTTTTTGAATACAGTGCAGCAAGTCACAACAAAGTTTTAGAAGTGCTAATGGATGCTCACTTTGGTCATCACACACTGGAGTGGTCCCCGTCCATTGCCCCCATTCTGTGCAGTTCCGCTGGACTGAGCCATGAAGGGCATAACCCTCTTTACATGAAAACATCTGTGTTTCTCCAACCTTGAACCACTGTCTTCTAGGCAAAAACTCCCCGTTGTCCAGCTGTAGCTGTGCTGGACAAAGAACCTCTAAAGAGTAAGAGAGAGAAGGTAGATAGGAGAGTAGATGGTGATCATGAAGGCTGTTTGGTTTTTCATATTGCATTGGATTAAAATGCACTGAAAATATGTAATGCATTGAATTTCCTAGAATTTTCTTTTATTCCTTTTAAAGGGATGAGGTTCATCAACAACTGAAAGACAGAATATATTTTGATATATATTATATTCATGTACAAGTAATATCCACTTCCATCAGCAGTAAAAAGTGGTCTGCGCAAAAGTTATGACATTTTATATTTTATGTTAAACAAATACAAACAAACAAAACATGTCATTTGACTGGAGGTGTTCAAAACATTTCAAAGCTTACCCTTGCATGAGGCAGTGGAAACTGTCTTGCCGGTAGGTAGCACCATGACTGACCACTCCCCTTCAGAGTTACAAACTCTGCTTTTGACTGGATAAGGGTAGTGTCCCACCTTACAGTGATATGTCAGCACACTGCCGTGTAAACCTCCGCTGGAGTAGGACACACTGCCTCCCTTAATGACCTCTGCCATAGAGCAGTTCTTTTGGGGCTCCTCATAATCACCGTAATCAAATTCCTCTAAAACAAGCCATCATTACACACAAACATTAAGCTGCTGTTCACAATGCTTGACAATGGAAACATTAAAAAAACATAAAACAGAGCAGTAATTCTGTAATGGGCATTATAATCAGACAGGAAAATCTAAATTCAAAGTGCTGTCATGTGTTTTATGTTAATCTGACCTTCACATTTCATTCTGGATGTTTTTGGCTCCCATATTCCTTTAGAGCTGCAGACCTTTTTGGAGACTGGATAAGGCTTAAATCCATCTTTACAGTGATAAGTTACCTCACTCCCAACAACACCTTCATTTGAGTACATCACTGTACCTCCACTGATGGATTCTGTCAGTTTACAGTTTGACTCGTAGTAGTCATAGTCGTAGTCACTTGTATGCACTGAAAGAGAAAAAAATACAACTTTTAGGAACTGAGCAGTCAGAGGATTTGTTTACTGTAATTGTTCCACAATTTTAAAATCAAAATGTTTTAAAGGTCCTGTATTGTGGAAAATGAATAATGAAAAAAAAACAATTACAAATTCAAAATGTTCCACCTGCTCTCATTCCATAGTGCATATATGCCAAATGTTTCAGTGCTGAAAGTAGTGACAATTTTATCTAATTTTGATCATAACCAAACACACTAGCCAGTACTTGACTAGCAAACGCAGCTTTATACAGTTGTACACACAAAAAAATCACAATATTTTTATTTAAACATAAAAATGTTTACTTAATTGCAGTAAATGTGTTTCAGTGGTATCAATTATTAAACTTACACAGATCTTTAGACTCTGGAACACATTTACTTCAAAACAATGAGGTCTAACTGCTCACCATGTGGCCATGAGGAACAGGGATGCAGTCTCACTTCCTGCTTTAAAATACAGGGGTGTGGCTAAAATAAGTCTCCATCAGTAGCGACATGAAAATGTGAGACATAATTTTTTGAATGAAATTTTTAATTTCCAAATTCATGATAAATGATTCTCATGATAACTTTCAACTTGAAAAGAAAGCAAAAAGATCTTTAAAAGACATTGAAAAATACAAAAAAGTATTATTTTCACAAGCTGAAATTTAGGGGTTAGGGTTTAAGACAGCCACCTCCCAATATAAAGTACCCTATAAATGATGATTTTGTGTATTTAGCTCAATACTCTCAATTAATTGCTAGAAACATATTCTTTATAAATATCTAAGGTGTGTGTACTTGACTACTTTTTTTGCTGTAGAAATTTATTTTGAAACATTTTGGTAGAATGGTCCATCTTAGAAAACAAAGCAGCAAAAACAGCCCATTTGAAATTAATTGTTTTTGTGATGTCATGAAAATCAACATATTTACATACATGCAACTTTTCAGCTTACAGCAGCTTAGCTCTGCCCATTCTGAAGTTATAAGGAGTGTTTCACCCTGGACTGCATTTTGAATGAGCAACAATACAGAGCAGCCAATCAGAACAGAGCTTATTTACATATATCAGCCTTAAAGGCACAGTCACATAATCAGCCTGTTTGTTTCTAAGGGATAAAGGGTTAAAGTAAAATGAGTTATGACTGTTTTTTGAAACTTTGTTAAAATCTAAGATAGCTTCCTTTAATCTCTCCATTGAAATTACAAACAGAATATTTATCAGAATTCAGTCATTGTCAGTTACTGATGGGTTCATTCTGATGAGTTCAAAATCAAAATTCTCTCAATAATGTATCTTTAAATCTGCAACTGACTAAATATGACATTGTTAACTTAAAGTCCAATGTAGTTTTGACAGTGCATCATTTTTATAGAGAAAGACACAAACTTTTTTAGTGTAATGTAAATTTCTATGATTAGGAACGTGGTGTTTTTGTGTTCTTACACATCAAAAACACTGCATGCAAAAACCTTCTACAAATATTTCTATTGTTAAAACTGTACATAGTAGTGTATAGCTGCAGCACTTACCTTTACTAATGGAGATGCACAAGGCAAAACTTAGAAGACACGCAGCTGTGAAGTGCATTGCTAACGTTTGAGTCCAACTCTTACTCACACTCAGCTGTGGAGAGCATTAGGGACTTGTATACTGGCATATTTGATGAGTGATTATCCATTAACTTCCCCAAACAAGACTATGATTGAGCAATGTAGTATTATGGGAAATGCAAAAAAAACAACTACTTCAAAAAAAGGAAAGCAAAAATATAGAACATTATAAGAAATGCACAACATCTGCTTGGACCTTCTGCTTTACTTATGTCTTGTGTTAGCAGTAATGGTTCCCATCTTCATAGATTTGAAGCCCAACTATTGCCAAAAAATGATGTCTTGTAATATGGTTTATCATTTTGTGTGTGTATGTGTTTGAGATGTAAAGATTAGAGGATCATTAGGGGGAATTTAACCGCATACAGCTCCCTAACCCCCCGTCCTGGCCTGCTCAGTCCTCTCAGCTGACTTGGCTTTGTGAGGAATTGAGAGGAGGGTTCTTAACTTCTTTTATTGTAACCTACTCACCCGCACCAAAACAGGACCCAGCAGAGACCACCTAACACAGCGCCATCGAATTTAGCAATTCATCACTTCGACAAACACAAATGAGGACTAATCAGAGCAAGCAAGACCCACTAACTGGACTTTAAGCAGGGAACTAAAGTGAAGATGATTTTTTATTAGCTCTTACATGTAGGGTTATGTGAGACTCACAATTTAACCATGTTTAATGTGACTTCAGCAGGGTGAGTAATGAAATATGCTGCTGGAAACTGCACTGCATTGCACTTTAAACCTATATTTAGAGTAGCCTGGTAATTGTTCTTCTGTACAGAATTAAGCCTCTCCGTGCTGTGAGTGAACGTAATTACAAGTAATGTCAAAGGATTTCTGGGAATGTGAGAATGGCAGACCTTGGAATGTCCAGCGATGACTGTGATTTTTATGAGGTAAAAAAAAGTTCAGTTTTAGTTTGATATTCAATCACAGAGCCCTAAGCCTTGTTAAGGCTAAACACTGTTATCTTTACCTTTGACCTCCACAGAATGTGTTTTGCAATCCAGCATTCGAGCCAGAGAATGACCATGATGAAATCAAAGATGTGTTTAAAGTTGCCATTTCCTCAGAACCTATCAAAAGGCCTGCACCACGTACGTACACAGTCCCTCAATACTGACATTATATATGACCGTGGAATAGACTTTGACTTTGTCTTATAACAGTGGTTTTCAGTCACAGTCTTGGAGACCATTTCTCAAAACATTAATGGGAATTTATCTCTGAATATTATTGTAATTTTCCTGCTCTAACAGACCTGACTATTAAAGATTATGAAGGATAACATTTGATTATGTCCAGGATGCTGGAGCAGAGAAAACACAAACATTTGGTGCAAATTTGTAGTGAGGACTGAGACTGAAAATGTATTCCCACATTATTCACCGGCATACATTTTAAATAACTCAATGTGTTACATTAGACTGAATGACAACAATGCAGAGAAATTCAGGTAGTCTTCAGGGTTATTGTAGTTAACTAAAACTATTACTAAAACTAAAATGGCAGAAAAAAAATGTGCCCATTAACTGTAATAAAAATAAAAACAAAAATTACTAAGAAAAGCCTTTAGGGTTTTTTTTAGTGTGTGAATAAAAAATTGTTACTCAACCATGAATTATTGTTTAACCGTCTTCAAGAGAAGCTGAAGCCAAGTTAAGCTCAGTTTATGAAAGATCATGGTACAAGATCTTATAACCACCTTTAAAGGAGTAGTTTGCCAAAAAAAAGACACAGTTTGTTTCTTTAGTTTAGTGTTGGATCTACGAGGCTAAGGTAGCTAACAAGTAACTGACATCTATGCCACCCAACACATTTCTGGTTGACATATATTATATTATGAGGCTTCAGAAACCAAGCAACCAATTTTTCTGTGAAACATTACTTCAGTGTCAGTGTTTTTGAACAGATTACTTTGAGTGACACTTGTCTTCCCTTCTCTGTGGTGATGCAGAACACAGAAGTTTGCTGAGTGTGTGTGTGTTGCGTCTGAGGGGTCACTGGTGTAGCTGGGGGACTCTGGTGGTGTCTGCAGTCGTGCTGGTGTTGGTGGCAGTGCTGGGCATCACTCTAGCACTTGTTCTAACACGTGAGTGAGAAATGCTCAAACTCTACTAAGCTAATGAAAATTTTCACTCAAAAATATTAATGCTGCTAGTAAGATTTTCCAGTAGTACTAACTTGTCAGTGATCTTAGCATTTCACTCATAAGTTCTATTTTAAAGCAGCATGTTCATACTAATATTCAACATAGACATTCTTTTGAAAATATATTCAGCAGAAACTTCTATCAACTGAATTACTGTTTGAGTAAAACAGCTACAGTCTCCCGGTCTTTGGTAGCGATATAGCTGGTGTTGTGATGAGGCTGAAGTTAGCTTCTTATTTGCCAGCTCTGTATTCAAATTTTCTGCATCTTAAATGGCAGTCAGTTACATGTAATCGCATGTAACGTACATGTTACATGCACCATTTAAGGTGGAACAGGAAAATCCAATAAGAAGCTGGCGAATAAAAAGCTTCACTGTGTTGTAACTGGTAAAGAAAACAGTAAAAAGGAAAATTACTGCTATTCAACACTGACACAACATACTTAAATGAAGTTTTAGCCATGAGCATTTTGGTTCAGTTAAATTATTGCTTGCGATTGTAATTGGCTTATGACAGAGATTTAGCCTCCTAGTCTTGTTATCATCATGTAGCTGTCACATTGCTGGTGCTATATCATGTAAAGAAAAGTTAAAAGAGGCTAATAATTGTGATTAAGAACTTCAAAGATGACATTTTTATTATGTGATGTGGCCCAGTAGCCTTAATATCCTATTATTTATGCTCCTTGTCACAGAGATGAATACAGACTCCACTGAGGAAGGAGCGCTGTCTCCTCTGGACTCCTGGAGTGGAGGCACAGTTTCACACAGCCTCACCCCAAGCCCCACCATTCTTCATCCTGCACACAGCTCACTATTCCCACAGCTTGAGCAAGAGGCCACCACTCATACAAGTAAGCTTCTGGACTACAGAGATTATTTGCTGATTATTTGCTGTTTCCTTTATGGTTGCGCTGCATTTTACATTTCAATATAGAGTTAAGTTGCCAGTGTATTAGGTACTTACCATGTACCCACACTCATTGGCCATTTTAGCAGGTACACCTACCATATATGTGCAATTTGTATGTAGACGGTTACCGGCTGGAGTCTCTCTGTTGCTGCACAATTTATCAGCTCCCCCTTTACTTCATCCATCAATAAACAAGGAGCACCATAGGATCATTGCTGACCCAATATTATTTGAGTGGTGTATCATTCTGTTCAGAGAAGTGACCCTAACATGGTGGTGGCATGTAGGCCTGTCACATTTATCACATAAATGCCTGGTAGGAATTATCTGAGCTAACTACAATTATTTATACTGACCACAGTTATTTTATACAGTTGTTGGCTTTCACAATCATATATTTATATCACAACAAACAGAATGTGAATTGCGTGGGGTTTCATTCATTGTTGATTGGGTCAAGGCAAAAACATGTAAATAAAAAGGCAGAAAACACATTTATTTAGAAACGTCAAACAACAGATGTAATTTCTAACTGGTGCTACAACACCTATAGAGGGCAGTAGTGATTTTTATTTATTAGGCTGAGATGTTTCCGTCTTCATTTCATTTTCATTCAAATCATTAATGATAATTAGTATAGCAATTAATTGTCAGCTAATATTTCATGATCGTGACAGGCCTAGTGGCATGTTAGCGTATGTTGCGCTGATACAAGTGTGTTAGGCACAGCATGGATGGTGTAGAGGGTGGATAACAAACTGTGCAGCAACAGATGGACTACAGTTGGTAACTCGAGATCTACAAAGTGCACCTATATAGTGGCAAATTAGTGTAGGTACAATGTAGGGGTACCTAAAAAACTGGCAACTCAGTACACTGAGACTGTAGTGTGGAATGTAACATATCTTCCCTCTTACAGAATGTGGTGGTGTATTGACTGATTCAGAGGGATCTATCAGCTCTCCGAACCACCCAGGCCCATACCCTCCTGACTCCATGTGTGTGTGGGTGATCAGGGTGTCTCCTCCATCTCTGGTCCAGCTCCACATCTCCTCCCTGGCCATTGAGGGACCATCCCCGTGCCTCTTTGACTGGCTGGAGGTTAGAGAAGAGAAAGAAGATACCACCACAGTCAGCAGGTTGGCCCATACTGGACATGTGTCTTTATAGCACTAAAAAAGTCCAAAAGTCTGAGGCCACATTGAAAATCTGGTATCTTTTTCATTTGAACCTGGACATTAACAACAGAAAGTTTTAGAATAAAAATCAACAAAGAAAAGTTATGAAAAAAATGAAGACGGAATATTAAAAACTCTGCATTATTTCTAGGTCACTGTTCAAAGTGAAGCAAATTAGTGAAATGGGCCATGTAAAGGTTTTTTAGCTCTCAGGTGGATTTGATCTACTGATCAGAGGCTTTTGCATAAACTTACAGAGTCTGTGTCAGCTTGAGCGCACAATCTCATTAAAACAAAAAGAGACATACTGTACCAAAAACTTAGTGGCTCTGAAATTCATGTAAACATTCAACGATTTTACTTTTACTTTTTTGTTATGATAATAATCTCACTTGTAATAAAAAATTGGGTATTCATTTAGAAAGGAATGCAAAATAGAAGCATTTTCAACAGTGGTCTCAGACTTTCGGACCCCATTGTATGATCAAAAAGAGCTCAAAGAGCTCGACTAAACTGAATGCTTGCGTTGTGCAAAAGATAATAACACATTTCCCTCCCCTGAAGATTCTGTGGCAATGTGGCTCCCCCCACTGTGAACACCAATAGCAGCACTGTATTGGTGTCATTCCGGTCTGACAGCAGTATTGGGGGCAATGGCTTCATTGCGCAATATCATGCCATCCTTCCATGGCAAAGTGAGTACATTTTACAGTAATACAATAATGAGTAATGAGAATGCTAGAATTGTCACAAAAATATATTAAAATACGCTGTTCTCTGCATGTAACTATGTGGAGTTTATTTAGCAGGTCTACAGTTGTGTACACTGTTAGATGCAGTGTGTGAAAGTGGTGTCAGTGTTGACTCTTCAGTGTGTGTTACTCTTCATGCTACTTCTGTTTCTGTCTTACAACATTGTGTTACATGTTTGGCTTCAAAGAAAAGGATATGAAATCATGATTCAAGTTTGATTTTAATAGTTGTTTGAATAGTGCACAAAATAAGACACATTTTGTAGTATTATCAAAACAATAAAGAAACAAATTTACATTGCTCAAAGTGCACATAAACACAAATGTAAACTACTGTTTTTTTCTTTTCAGGTCTCAGTATTTATTTATTTACTTATTTAATTTGTGTTATTGTTTGAAAATTGTCATAATGATTGATCCATGAGTGTGGAGTTCTTATCCTTTTTGACTTTTGGAATGCTTTGCTTAAATTTGATGAATTTGCTCACGATTCTAAACTCACAGTTAGATTACCGCAGTTCCTTTTTCATTATCATTCCAGGTAAAACTCTAAATCGACTTCAACTTATTCAAAATTCAGCTTTTAGACTCTTTGGTCATACCAAGTGCTCAGTACACATCACACCCATTCTCCATCACTGACACTGGCTTCCCCTTTCTCAGCAAGTTAAGTTGACATTATAGGACTTGCTGGGTGGGCACCTTTCATAAAACACAAAGCAATATAGGTCAAATAATGTTGTATGTTTTCAGTGATGATTCTTTGTGTGTGTTGGCATTTCTCACCAGAAAGCTGCTCCAGAGAGGAGTTTATGTGTGATAGTGGCCGTTGCCTGTTGCCTGTGTCTGTTTGTGACAGCCAGTCAAACTGCCAGGACCACACAGACGAAGCCAACTGCAGCCATAAACACAAGGGTAGGAGCTCTGAGTACATTCAGCACTGTGCAATATGCGCTAAGGAACTGAAGTGTTTGTCTTTCATGTCATATAAATAATCCTGTGTTTCTTAATCTGTGGTTCACTGCATAGAATGTGGAGGTCAAAAGACAGGACCAAGTGGCTCACTGTCCAGTCCAAATCACCCAAAGCCATATCCTCACCAGCAGGTAAAAACCAGTCCAGTCTTAATAGATTAGTGTATATTACTGGTACAATACATTAAACAGTAGGTTTAAAAAGGGTATTTTTCTATAAATTATCATTTCAGAGGTACAAACAGGTGACAAACTAAAGGAAAAACAACATAAAGTGTCTTAGTAAAATGTTGGGCCACCACAACCCACCAGAACAGCTTCAGTGCATACAGGTGCACTGTGCTGTATAATGCAGTAAACCTGTCTGGAAGCATCTGCACTCATTATGTTTCTACAGTCATTTACTCAGGTTTTTCCTTTAATTTGTCTCTCATCCGTACAACGACTTATTAGAACAGCAAAAATATGCTAAATAGCTCTTTGGTGTTCTAAACCATGTAGCAGCCTGTATGGTTTCGATTAATGTAACTGTACATTTAGGATTACCACTTTTACCACACGAGTGGTGGAAAATATATATTGATAAAATATATACTGATTATATATACAGGCATAAGCAAACATTAAAACACCCCTGGTCAAATTACGTTTTGTTGATTTTCTAAGTGAAAATAAGTAATGCATCCTCTACAGACAATAAACTTAAATATTTTTTCTTGCAAATTTTAATGCGCAATTTGTATTTATTTAACACATTGGAAAAAAATGTGGAACAAAAAAATGTGGAAAAAAGTGTCATGGCTCATGGGCCACATTTTATGTTTTATTTTTTTCCTCAATATGTTAAGTTTAGCAAATAAGACAGCAAAGAATTTAGCTAAGATGTGTACTTTTTCACTAGCAAAATCAACAAAACATGTAATTGTGTCGGGTGTGTTCTAACTTTTGTGCATAATTGTATACATTCCCTGCAGTATAAGTAGCTTAGGATACATTAAATGCTAAATAAATAAATGTAAATATAATGTAATGATGATGTATAAGCGAAAGTATTACAAGCATCTTAAGTCACATCAGTTCTTTCATTTCCTGTTTTCTACTTCATCTCTATATATTGGTTTCTCCACTTCTCTTGCCTAAACTCTCATTCAGCTGTGTACGTGGCGTATATCTGCAGAGGAAGGCCAGGTTATCAGATTGACTTTTCACAACTTCAGTTTGGAAACTCAAGATGTTTGTGAGTTTGACTATGTGGAGGTGCATGACGGCGCCAACACCGGAGATGGCAGTGTGCTTGACAGGTAACAATGATCTCTCTTTCTTTCTTTTTATCAGATGAAAAAGAGAAATAAGTGACTCTCTTATTGCCAACTTACACTATAAAAATGTCATTCAACCTAAAAATATACAGAACTTCATGTGGTAAAGTACTGGTTTTATTTAAACCAAATAAATTAAATGGAAAATAACAGTTCAGATGAATAAACACCATGATTTTCACAAATTTGAACACTTTAAATCAACATTGGCCATTTTCCATTCCTACAGTGCAGATAAGAAAATAGATCAGGTTGATATGTATAGATTTATACTGCCATGTACATTCATACAGTCTTTCTTGGTTCCTGTAGGTTCTGTGGCTCAGGCCTCCCTCCTGACCTGACCTCCTCTGGGCCGATGATGACTGTAGTGTTTGTGGCGGATGAAGGTGTGGCTGACAGTGGCTTTTACGCCTCTTATCAGGTCATCTCTCTCTCAGAAAGTGAGTATTGTGTGGTTGTGCATTTCAGCACTGAATGTTCTCTCCTTTCATAAGTCACTAGGGTGCAGACACACCACGAACTACTCTCAATGGAAATATTATACTCTGTGAAGTAGATGATAATATAGCAGTATACTGATCAACTGTGGCTCTGTGTTAGTTATGAAAAAGTGTGTTGTGATACATGCTGTGATATAAGCTATTCACAGTATTTTTTAAACTGCATTGCTAATATATCCATTACATATGAAATTTGTTTTTTTGCTTTTCTCACTGGGTTGCCAAAAAGGGTAAACGAGCTGCAGCTCATCCCAAATGCTGCTGCCAGTGTATTAACGGCAACACATACAAGAGAACATCCCAAACCAATTATGGCTTTAACTGACTGTCTTTTAATCTCTTTTAAAATAAATTCTAAAGCACTGCTATTGGTTTTCAAATCAGTAAATGCGCTGGAACGTCATACATCATGGATTGTCTGCCTCTGTGGACCTTAATTCATCCTCAAGGACATGAGTTTCCAAATCTGGTCCTGGAGGACCCTCTGCCTTGCAAAGTTTAGTGTTAGGCCTACTGCCAACACTCCTGACCTACAAATCCACTAATTTTACAAGCCCTTCCCGAGTTGAAGTGGGTGTGTTTTGACAGGAAAACACAAAAAAAGTGCAGGGCAGGGGGTCCTGCTCTGGGATGCTACTTTTATTTATTTGAAAAAGTTTGGGTGCCCCTGGTCAAATTAAATGTTTTGTTGCTTTTTAAGTGAAAATATGTTAACATATCCTCTAAAGAGAGCACACTTCTGCATATTTAAATATACAATTACTGCTTATTTGCTGAATTTAAAAATCTATAAAATGTGGCCTGTACAAAAGTTATGACATAAATAAATATAAATTGTGCACTAAAATTGGCAATAAAATACCATGTTTACATTTGTTCCACATAGTGGATGTGTTATTTTCACTTAGCAATTCAACAAAATGTAAATTGACCAGGAATATTCAAACTTTTGCATACAGTGACATTATCTTATTCCTAATGTTATATATAAAGAAAATGACATTTTTGTTGATTTTCTAAGTGAAAATAATTTAACACATCCTCTCCAAAGAGTTGTTGTTATGAAACAAACATATTAATTTCACAGTGTATCTATTTATTTATATTAAAATGACTCACTCTCCACTCTGGCTTTCCATTTTAAGGAACCTGCAGTCCTGAGCAGTTTGCCTGCGCCACAGGACAGTGTCTCCACCATGACTGGCTGTGTGATGGGTGGAACGACTGTGCAGATGGCGCAGATGAGCAGAACTGCAGTAACTCCACTTACCCTCCTTTCAGTAAGAACATTCATTCATAACTGTGATAAAAATGAAGCAAGAAGTCATGAGAGTGCATTATAGTAATTTGGCCATAGTTCAAAGGTGTTGCAAGGCACAAACCCCTTAACAGTTAGTACAGAACATAGTATAGAACATAGTACAGCCGATCAGATTTTAGAACCGTCAATTTTATAACAGACAAAAAATATCTCCCTGCGTAGTATTGCATTGGATTGCATTACATTCATTTTATCAAAATGACTATGAGAGTTACTGTCATGCTATAATTAATGGTAACATTTCTAATCATTAGTGAGAAAAAGAGACAACTACAATGCAAACCAGCTCTTAACTTTTATCCGTTACCTTTCATTCCATGTGAGTCTTGAATAAAGAAAGCCTGTGTCTTCTCTGCTGCAGCTTCATCCTGTGAGCCCATTCAGGTGGAGATGTGCCAGGGTCTCAGCTATAACCTCACATCCTTCCCCAACATATGGCTCTCCATTGCTGATCAGAGAGAGGCTGCCAACATGCTGCGCCAGTACAGAGTAAGAAACTACAATACCCAGAATCCTACTTGTCACTTTGTTCAAGGAGATTATTATGTCTAATTGAAGCACTTGAAGTACTGTTGCTCATTGTGCTACTTTATATATTTTTATCATTACATTACAACATTGTCATAGCCTATGCTTTCTTATCGTACAGTATAGTGCATTAATAGTGGGCAAATTTAATACAAGAAAACTGTAGTTTCTAATGGTGGTTAAAAAGAATGGAAGTACACTAATGAAAGTGAAAAATTAGTATGCCCTTTTTGTTGTAAGGGATATTGCCAAAAGAACCATGAGTGAAGAATTAAACATCCATAATATCTTTCTTGACTGTAATGATGCTGCAGTTAGTTATAACGCTCCATTACGTCTTTAAGTCTGCTCACAAAACTGGAACCACTGTACTTTGTGCAATATATGAGGCCCTTCAGAAATGATCTTTTGTGTCTGCAAGAAATGGGTTTGACTGTAAATTACAATACAGGTTAGTAAAATAATTAAACAGCATCCCACAGTAAAAGAACAGGGCCCAGTTTCCCAGAAGCATCTTAGTGTTAAGATCATCTTAACTGAAAGAACGAGTGTTCAGTGGCATGTTCGATCTACCATTTAAGAACAATCTTTGTGCTAAGAGGCTTTTGGGAAGCCTAGCCAATGAAAAGGGACCATCATAGGACCACCTTACATAATTCTCAGCTCGGCAATGAAAGCAATGTGGTAGTGGTATTGTAAGAGTCACTGGGAATAGTTCACCAACCAAAATATCCAGCTATCAGTAGCGCTGTGGTCAGAAACTGATCATTGTTGAATAAATAACACAAATCACGCAAAGATGAGCTATAGTGTCTAATGCTTTACCAGCAAGTTGGTGTGTCCAGTTTCCCAAAAGCATCTTAGTGTAAAGATTCTCTTAACTGGTGGAGAGAGGGTTCATTATGATGCTTGCTCTACCACTTAAGAACCATCTTTGTGCTAAGATGATTTTGGGAAACCCAGCTGTGGTCAGTAAGTGTACAGACAGATGTTGGCACTGGAAAACAACTGCCAGTAAATCTACACTAATTTACAGACAGCCAAGTTTCCAGAAACTGCATTTTACTGCATATTTATAAATTATATACAATATTTCAAAGTATGCACTTTAAAACAGAAAAACACCAAAGAAAAACAACAACACTAAACTAGGTAATGGTTAGAAATGGTAAAGGGGGCTGATAAACTGTACAGAGCATTTGGGCAATGGTAAACCTACAAAGTGCACATATATGGTAGGTGTTTCTGATAAAATGGCCTATTAGTATAGGGTCAAGTCAGGTGTATCTAATAAACTGGTGTTTGTGCATTCTTGTACAGGTGCTGAAGGAGCTGGCATGTTTTGAGCCCCTGCGGCAGCTGGTATGTGCCATGTTCTTGCCACAGTGTAGCTTGCAAGGGGGCGTGCTGCAGCCATGCAGATCCATTTGCTCAGCAGCGGAGCAGCAGTGTGGCAGAGTGCTGGACCTCTTCAGCCTGAGCTGGCCTTTCAATTGCCACTTACTGCCTGACTCCCATGACCCCATGGAGTGCTCCCTCCCTTAGCATATAGCTTAGAAAGACTAAATGATGACTCATAACTACAGCAGGACTCCGCTGGCTGGAGTACTCAGTGTATTGTTGACTGTTTCTTGTGGATTCCTGACAATTGGAGGACAATCCTTTGCAAAAACGAAGTATGCTGAAAGTTACCTTTTGTTTGAAGTACTGTTTTTGCTCTACCAATGTCCAAACTTGTACATTAAGTGCAATAATGGGCCAATTTAGAACACCAGTAAAGATCCTTTTTTGTTGTAAGGGACATTGCCAAAAGAACTATGTGTGACCAACTCTTTCTCAAATATAATGGTGCTGCAGTTTAAGTTTAAACTCTCCAGTAAATCAAATAACTTAAGTGTTCAAACAACTGAACCACTATTATTTGTGCTGCATGACCAAGAATGTTGGTGCAAATAGAGTAGACAAATGAAGCGCTCCAAAAACGTAATGATCCTTTATGTAGAGTAATGTAGAATTTTGTAAATAAATGACTACTTAATATTATACATTACAATGTTTTTTTTTATAATAGTGGATTTGGCTGTAAATTGAGATACAAATTAGTTTGGCAGTATCAGGCACAGTAAAAGAATTTAGTAGCTTTGTTTTTCTTTTGGTGGCCTTTCTGTATGAAGGTGCATATTTTGAAGTATTTTTATATACTCTGTAAATATGCAGTAAATGCCAATGTCTTACAGCGCAGGCAGGAAGTTTTACATATAAAATCAAAAATACTACCTTGCCTTATTAAGGCTAAACACTAAATGGTGTTGTAATCATTGTTATACATTACAAGTAAGAGATTTCCATAAAGAACCAGAACGGAATACTTCAACACATTTTATTTTTTACTGCTTTGAGTTATATAACTGCAAAATGTGTTGTGCTCATACTATCTGCATGTCATGTTTACTGAAAACAATTCTATTAACCTTTTTCAAGCTCTTGCTTAAAGGTGCAGTGTGTTTAGGGGTATCTATTAGCAGAAATGGAATATAGCATACTAAACCATATTTTCATTAGTGTATAATCACCTGTTACTACAAATCATTGTGTTTTTGTTAGCTTGAAATGAGCACTTCATATCATAGGGAGCAGGTCCTTTTGCAAGAGTGGCCAACACATTGCACCACCATGTTTCTACAGCAGTCCAGAATGGAAAACCAAACACTGGCTCTAGAGTGACCTTTGTGTTTTTACATTCAAGCAACAACTTGAATTTGGTGGCATTACAGCACTGATTGGAGTACACAAAAAGAATAAAAATCAATGGTTGCTAGAGGAGCTGGCAAACCATTCTGTACTGTGTGAAGTTTGAGAACCCAAACCTTAGCAAATGGGGATTAAACTTAATATTTACCACAAGACCCAAGCCCTGTCACCAAAGAGGCGAAAACATGATGGCCAATGTAGGTTCTACTACACACCTGGAAAGAGAGGGTGTTCAGTTGGTTGCAATCTGCAATCTCACCTCTAGATGCCACTAAAACTTACACACTGCACCTTTAACCACTAATGTCTTTTCACATGTGGTCTGCAAAATGATTTACTCGTGAATTGAGCCTGGTTTGTTGACCTTCAGCTGCAGCTATTACTAAAAACCCAGTTCACAAAAAAAAAAAGAAAAAACTTGCTTCAGTTGGATTGAAATTAAAGTAGCAATTTATCTCTTAAATATAACTTTATTGCATTGTCAGGTACAAAGCCATGTCTTGGTAGTAGTGTGACATGATTAAGTGCTTTCCAAATAAAGATATTTCAGTAAAATTCATTCCATTGTCAATACATACCACTAATATTTTTAAACATTGCATTGTTATTCTGTCAATTACGTTTGCATCAGCAGATGCAAACAGTGATGTTGAGAACCAGTCCTGGCTGTTATTTCTAAAACATCATTCATTTCATTCTGAAGTGGGGCCATTACCTCTGCACGAAAGCAAAGTAAATGAACCAAATCTCTTTCACAGAGTAGAATGTTGTTGAATCAGGCTGTTGAGCTGCTAAACCGGGATAATGAGTTTAAGTGTGTGGTCCAAGGCTACTGCAGTCAGGCCCCAGATTCTGTACTTAGCATTGTGAAACACAGGAAGAGTGTAGCCATAACGGTCCCCAGTGCGAAAATGAGTGTAGCCTCGGTTCTGTGGGTTGCATACATGAGCTACACTCAGCGTAAAGATCTCCTCCACCTTTGGGACACAGAATGAGACAAGTGAAGCACACCAAGCAACATCTGAGAAAAAGCATTTCAACAACACTATTTACCTCACTTGGGTTGGGCTGGAATGTTAGAGCCTCCAGTGGTCCAAGGTGGGCTAACACAGGGGCTACCATCATTCCTGACTGAAAAGCACAAAAAGTCATGTGACTGTCTTACATGAAATTTCTGACCTCTGTTGAAAGTATATATTAGACCACAATTAAAATGTATCAAAATCTGATATTCACATGGATCTTACAATAGTTTTTATGTTTTTTAGTGGGCTCTCTAATGTTCTCATTGATTATTCTCTGATTATTTAACTGCATAAATTTTATAACTTCCTGGATTTAAATTTAAACGCTCCAGAGAGTGCATTGATGAAACAGTGTTTATATATATATATAAAAAAGGCTGGTAGGTAATACTTACTCGATCGCTCAGTGGCTTCAGCACCCCCCACACTTTATTTTCAGTCACAGCAATCCCCAGTTCCTCCCTGGCTTCCCGCAGTGCTGTGTCTACAACATTACTGTCAGAGGGGTCTCGCTTCCCTCCTGCAAAACTGGACAGAGGAAACAAAATGTTTGCCAGGTGGACAGATGTTTTGATCTCAACAAGCTGAAATGAGAAATATAAAGATGACATGAATTTAAAGTCATGCTAACTTGCAACCACAGCTTTTGTTAGCTGTTTGTCACAGAAGCACTGTATGGTTAATAGTACTGCTATTACTACTTCTTAAAGAAATCCTCCAGCATTTCTCAGCATTTATCTGCTGCATCTGTCTGTCTGGTCAATTGCCATGGATAATAATTTCAAAGTGTTTCCCTGGGCTAAGAAAACCTGTTGGCTTGAAAAATAATTATGATAGAATTCAATAGGCAGTTACTGAATTCTGTCAGTAATGGTTTATATGAAATATTTTTTTTCATGAATTCTTCAGGTAAATGTATTTCTAAATGGAAATGCAAAGCTGTATAACTTGTTCTTTCAGAGATGGACTACTCTTTCACAAAGCTGAATCTGCGATAAGTTCTTACAGGCTTTGCCTAATCATGCATGGACACTAGAAAATCTTAGGGAAAGTTAAACGACCCTGAATTTATTTCCTTTTAAATAGTCAACCTCAGCATCAGCCATTAAACAGGACTTGTACCTGACATCTCCTTTGTGTCTTCCCCTCAGTTTACTGGATCTCAGAGTGAAGAGGAAAGAAGGATCTCCTCCAACTGTGCATAAAGAAACCAGCACAGCTGCCCAGATTTTCCCCTTCTCCTTCTCATACAGTGCAGTGTTGGGCTGCAGGTGGCCTCTACAGCGGGCCTCGTTCTCTGCTGATAGACACTCTTCTAGAGTGGCCTGGTGTGGGACTCTCTTGTGCAAACCACGGATGTGGGTTGTCAGAAGTCCACAATGGCTTCGTTCTGATGGGCTTGAATTCCAGAGCCTTCTGCTTAATTCATACGCCCTACTGAAATTGTCTTTACAGGATGTGGCCTCTATAACAGTGTGGTAACTCTTCTGACTTTTGATACTGGTGTTTAGGTGTGTTGTCCACTTACCCATTAAGCTTCTGTGTTTGTCTGTTTGGTTTTCAGGTAGAAGGCACTTGTTAGGAACAGAGTTTCTGAGACAATGTGCTAGGATGTCAGAACTGACTCCTTTAAGCACATTTGCCTGATGAATCACATTACAGTAAAAGGCTGAAGGTTTAACAGAGCAGCTTGTGTTAACAAGACAGGAGAAAGACTTGTGAAGAATTTTTTGTGAAATACAAACACTGTTCCATGACTCATGCTTATGATGCTGTTTCCACTGATGTCCTTTCTCTCTACTAACAGGGCAAAACTGTGAGAGAGAGCTATTGCACAACGTCCTGAGAGTTGGCTTTTGTGAGTCTTTTACTGTCACAAGCAGTGACCTATGCGTCCCCAGGAGGCATGATGAAGTCACAAACTGAGAACTCCTAAACATCCTGGAATAAAAACAAGAGCCAATGTGAGTTCTATAAGAGTTACATGTATTTGAAGCCCATTTTTAATGATCAACCTACATGTGCTTGATTGTTTAAGACCATATTTTGAAAATCAAACCATCCTTCTTTAGGTTTAGAAGCCTATACAACGGCTTAAACATTAAAACATATACAGGACAATTAATAATACTTACAATCAAGTTTAGCTTTATATAAAGAATTGAACGGTGATCTTGTGAACACACAGCCCTTTAGACTTCTTTTTCAGTGTTGTTAAAAGGGAAGGTAATGTAACACAGTGGTAAACATGCTGCTGTCCCAACTTTTTTGGAACGTTGCAGACATCAGTTCATAACATAAAACAAAATATTCTGTTTCTCAATTTAATACAGGCACTTAAAGAAAAAGATATTATTGATTAAAAACTCATTTTTCCTAAATTTGGGGAAAAAGGTTACTGTTACGGGTAGGTGATTTTCACAAAACATAACATGTATCACCATATTTAATTTGTCAAACAAGCTGGTGCTGACAAAACACATCAACAAGACAGCAGTGCCACATTTACTAAAGGAGCATAAACAGAATGAGTACAATGATTTCTATTTATTTAACACAAGCAAAAATAAACTATTTAAGAAGGAACATTAGGAAAAAAACAAACAATATGTAAAACTAAATTAATAAAATAACAATGGCATAATGGGCTGACATCCAATTAGCTACTTGTTTCTATGCAGTTTATAAAGTTACTGTACGTTGTTGTTGTTGTTTACAGGTTCCTTATAACTTGTCTAAAAGTAGACTTCATGATACATTTGCTTTTTTTATTAGTGCTGGCAATACCTGAGATAAACTCAGAAAAAAGCATGGTGGCACAAGTTTTTACAGTAATAATGGCATACTGTCATATTGCCCACCTCAGGAACCGAACCTCAGACTATACATTACTGATAGATGGCCAACTTGACGAAAATACAAACTGAGGATATACAGCCTGGAGACCTGGAGGGCCAAAGTTGATCTAATGCACCTGACTCAACTAGTCTACTCATTATTCCATAAGCTGAATCAAGTGAGATAGAGCTGGGAAAGTGCTTAAATGTAGCAATGTGTAAGTCTGTGTTACAGGTTTTGTGTTTCATGTAACTGTATACTGTGATCGTCAACTGGTCAGCTCACTCAGATTTGAGGCCCATTCTGGTTACCTGTCTCACTGACAACAGCGGGTACATTTATTTATTTTTGTCAATGTATTGCCTCTTTTTATGGCTGTCTTTTATAAGACAGAGCGGACAGAGCTGGAGTCTCAGTGGGTTTGTACACACAAGTGTACACAGGATTTTAAATGTTACTAAAGATACAGCTATAAAGCTCAGCTAGCTTGTCGTGTAGTTAGAGCTTTAACTTGGCGTGTTTATGGGCACATTCAGTTACAGCGGGGATATTCACTCAGATATGAAGCTTACACTGACTCATCAATACGCTAACAAAAACACATTTATCTCGTCTCCGAAGAGAGACTATGTTATTAAACACTTCTTAGTTAACACTTCTTTTGTAACATTGACACAAACCATCTCTCAGCACCCCCCAAAATCCAAACCTGTCATTAGCATTAGCATAAGTGAACCGCTAGCCGACAAGCTATCAGTACCAAGTAAACGGTTTCTTGGCAGCGCTTGAAAGAAGTGTTTTAGGAACCGAAGACGCCGCTGAATTTGAAACCCCCAGGCGGTAAAACATACAAACATGTTCATTCAGTAAAGAACAGGCCAGTGTTTTTCCTGAAGTCACTCACCTTGAACAGGACTGACATACACCACGCTTTTCCGGCTGCTGCTCGGGTTGCCAGTTGCATCAAACAGTCCCCACTTTTGGGGGCTGAATGAGTGAGGAGTTGAACAGTGCAGTGCTGTTTACCCGTTTAACCGCAGGACTCAATTAGCGAAAGTCTATCTGTGTGGTTTCGAGCAGTGGATACAATGGATTACTTATTTAGGCTTGAAAATGTAAAGGGCAACTCCACCGATTTTCCTAAATTTCACAATTTGTTCGTGAAGAAGTAAGCAGTCGTTGGTTTGATGTGAAATGTGCCGTTGGAGAGAAACTTAGAGGCCTATAAAACACGTTCATGGTGGAGTGGTACATGCAGGCCGTTGTAAAGCAAAATAGCCTTCAGTTTCCATAGTCAGAACATGTTTCGTTACTCATTACTGCAAAAGTAATTGCCTTCACAAAACATATTTTATGAGGAAAATAGTATATATTTGTGTAATGTTTATTAATGTGCCAAAAACAGTCATAATTCATTTTTGCTATGACCATTTTCCGTCGTGATCCCATAGAACAGCAGTCCTCCCTGTTTTTTTTCAAATCTAAGACACTGTTTCTCAACCCTAGTCCTGGAGGCCTACTCCTCTACACTTTTTAGTGTTTTTTCCTCTCATTAACAGCCCCTTATTGAGTTGAAGTGGCTGTGTAAAGCAGGGAAAGCATAAAAATGTGCAGACGACAGTGGACCTCCATGACCAGGGTTGAGAAACACTGCTGCCTTACAATTAAACAGATTCTAAAAGGGTTTTTTTATTACTGTGCCTTAACCATGAATGAGGTCTGGTCTGATTGGCTGCCCCATTTTGTGTCCCATTCAAAAAGCAGACCAAGCTGAAACACTTCTTATAACTTCAGCGTGAATGGGTGGGGCTAAACGACTGTAGGCTGAACAGGCTGATACATGTAAATATGTTTGTTTTCGTGACATCACAAACAAAAGTTAAGAAAGTTTATCAGATGTTAACACTGTTTAGAAATCCAAGTGCTCTTAGCATTCTCTCAAAAAAATGTTTGTGTCCAACTGTAATTGACCAGTAATTGACCAGTCATTCTGAACACTGTTTTATCAGACAAAAAAAAAAGAAAAAGAAAAGAAACACTGGAATTTCCCAACAGGCCTACTGACTGTCATGATTGCCTCTGGCACTGAGGGCTTTCCCTCTGAAAAATAGCACTTATTCCAAAAACTTCTCTCAGAGGTTAAAGATGACACTTACTAGATGACTCTACATTCCGTGATTGGTCAACTTAATTACTATGCATTCTTTTGACATGTATGTCAGTTAGCTAATGTGCAGCAGAACCTGTCTGTTTGCCTTCTTAGAATTCTTTTCAGCCTACATCATTTAAACTGAGGACATTCTCCAATTGAAACTGGTGTGGCTTCAACACCTTGTCCCCGTGATGCAGTTGGAAAGTTCTACAGGACCTGTTATACCAGTCGTTAGCTCCACCCACGCTGTATTAAAACTAAGTCTTTGTGTTGTGAGATTTAGATTGTCTCAACACCATCTCCGGGGACTTTGTCTACCTTTTCCAGTCATGGCTACATCCAGATGCCGTCCAGAAGAGTTTTCATGCCCCGTGTGTTTGGAAATATTGTGTGACCCTGGTACACTTCCCTGCGGTCATACCTACTGCCTTCAATGCATCCAGAAGCACTGGGATAAAGCTGCAGCGAAGGGCATCTACTCATGTCCTCAGTGCAGGCAGGTCTTCAACCCCAGACCCACTCTGGGCAGGAATAATATGCTGATGGAGGCCATGAAGAAACTGAGGGTGCAGGAGCAAGATGACCCCCCGTCACCTGTGCATTCCTCTCTCACCTCATCTGCTGCTGTGTTTGTAGATTCTTCCTCTCAACCAGCACCCCTTGATGGAGCTGAAGGAGCTGTTGAGGGTGTTTCAGTTCAGGGGGGATTATATCCTCAGCTCCCTTTCACCTCCCCCAAGATGTGTCCACTACACCAACAGGTCCTTGAGTTGTACTGCTGCGATGATAAGGAGAGCGTGTGTGATGAATGTAGTCTCCTGGGACATAAAGGCCATCGGGTGGTCCGTCCAGATGAGGAAAAGGAAGAGAAACAGGTACAAAATTAGAATTGATTACTTTTTTATTCAGTGTGTGTTTATTTATTTATTTATTTATTTTTTTTTTTATTAGGAGACTTTACATATACATTGTTGGTTTGTTTGTCCTGAGTAGTACCTCTTGTTTTTTTGTTTGTGTTATTGTCTTTGTGAGCAGCAAGAGCTGGAGCAAAAGAAGGAAATGATACAAAAAAGCATTCAAGCCAGAGAGAAGGTTATTCAGACTCTACCACAGGTTTTGCAAGCTCATAAGGTAAGACTTGCACCTAGATTTTTCTTTTACAAACATTAATTAAGAAAATAAACATATATGCTACACAGAAAAATCTCAGGTGTTCAATTGCATCCAGCTGGACTTGTAGGTATTTGCTAAACACTGGTTGGACACAAATGAACACTCTTAAAAGGCAATTTCACAGATTTTCCGGACTTTCTGCATAATTTCTATTATGTTATCATTATGAATATCACATGTAAAACTCAGGAGACACATACAGGTTCACTGTCATTTTGGATGGCTATATTTGCCATGTAGACATTATGACCCCTGGTTCCTTTCACTACCACTGTAAAGATATTTTGACTCGGTCGGGTTCTCTACAAAGCACCAGTTCACATCAAACCACTCTGAATGACTTTGTTCGTATCTGATCGATTGAACACTAGTGATTTTACTCTGTAGCATCAGTTTATTCACTATTCATGGTACATCAAGTCATTTTGTAACTTTTATGTTAGAATGCCATTCAGGGGCTGCAGAGGTACAGTCTGGAGACGTTTGCTGATGTAGTGAAGAATGTGGAGCTAATGAGCTCCCAGGTCATGCAACTCCTTCAAACCTATGAGGCTTCCTCTTACAATCATATAGAGGCCGACCGCTACAGACTGCAGCAGGAGATCAGCCAGCTATGCAAACAACAAGAGGAACTGAACAGATTAGCTAACACTCAGGACTCCATTCAGTTCCTAAATGTAAGTAGGAGCAGTCTTATTGCAAGTAATTTCCTAGTATGACACACTACTAGACTTTCTAGGCCCGTGAATGTCAATATGTAGTGCAGACAGCTGTAGACCTTCTTATGTCTCATTTCTGTGTGGGATATATGATACCATATTTAAAAGAGCTTTATTAATGTTGTTGCAGGCTCTTGTCATGCCGGGCGCTGTGGGCCAGGTTGAAAATGCTCAGCTGGAGATTTCCCACCCAGAGTTAGTGGAAGCTGGGATCAGATCAGCTCTGGGGACTTTCAGAGAGGGACTGAATGACCTTTGCAAAGGAAGCCTGGCTAGTATCTTCAGAGCTGGTGAGATTGAACATGATTTATCAAAGTTGTTATTGCCCTTTCTATAACACCTGAACTCTTATCTTACTGCAACAAAGGGGAAGTACCACTGATTTTGCTAAATTTCTGCGTAATTTAATTGTCAAGATGTATAAAAAGTCCAGGAAGGAAAAGTCCAGAAAAAGGAACCACGAAGTGGTGGCTAAAGCCCAAATATAGCCATTTTATTTACTATCCAGAATGACTAGTGAACCTACATGCATTTACTGAGTTTTTCTATGTAATGTTGATCATTTTATTTGGGTACTCTTTTGCCTTATAACGCCCTGCATGTACTTCACTGCCATATATGGATTAAAAAAATATGTTTTAAGCTAAAGCCTAAACTCAGAAGTACTGTGAAAAAAATTATTGGGCATCAGGGAGTGTATTCATAATCATTCAATGCAACAGCTTTTGGTGAGGAAGCTTTTTTTTTAGTTGGTGCATTTTTGAAGAATAGCAAAACCCAACACTTTTTTTTTCTACTGTAGTGAATGATGCGGCAGCAAGGGCGCCACCAACTAATGCTCAAGCATCAGAGACAGGCCCTGTGCCTAATGATTTGCAAGTTGCTTCACAAAAGACAGGTTTGTTTGTTTGTTTGTTTACTAAGCACAATAGGGAACTGCTATTTATTATAGTCTTCCAAATGGTTTTTTTGCTGTTTGTTTAACTGACCGTTCAATGTTTTTTTTTTTCTGTGTTGCATTTAAAAAATGATTAAACACGTTAGTCACATAACGACAGTATAATAAACTCAAATACGACTAGAGCTGGTTATTGTAATTTAATGCTTTTATGGTGTGGGCCAAACTAATTAAACACAGTTATCAAAAAATCTATCAATGAAAAATTTTATTATTGAAGTAGTTGGATTTATCAGCATCAGTAAGATTGACAGACAAAGATTGGCTGATAAGAATGTTACTGAAAACATTTCTGTATGATTTGTATAATCATTCAGAAATCGGTATCCTCGTCAAGGTGTCTGTATTGCTATCAGTAGCAAAAAATACAATACCCAGCCCTAAATCTGTCTAAGATAGCCTTCCCAGACATTACTTTCTGCTTTCTCTTAAGCTCCTGAGATGACGGTTTCATCTAGCAACAGTAAACCTGAAGACAAAACAAGCCATTCAGCAGCACATCAGCATCCACCAGCTGCAACTGCACAACCAGGTGAATATGCAAAATATAAAAACATTCTGTTTTTTACAATTTTCTTCTAAAAATGCAAAAACCTGCTGTCACATTAAAGGAATAATTTGTCCAAAATAGTCATTTTGCTAATAGTAAATAAGAACTAGATGGGGCTATTTAATTGTATTACATTAATTGAATGTATAGGTATCATTCAAGTTGTCTCAAGAAGCTTTAATTCTAGTAAAGGCACATCTTAGTTAAAGGGCACATTCAAAGTCATTTGCAAAAGTTTGAACACTCCTGGTCAAGTTACATGTTTTGTTGATTTTGTGCCTGCTTTCTCTTTAGCTCCTGAGATGACAGTTTCATCCAGCAACAGTAAACCTGAAAACAAAACACGCAGTTCAGCAACACATCAGCATCCACCAGCTGCAACTGCACAACCAGGTGAATGCTCAAAATATACAAATTGCAATGCAAGAACACTGCATTCTGTTTTTTGCTTTGAATGACTTGCATTCCCTTCATCTTTGCAGCGAAGGAAGCGGCTGCCTTCAATACAGAAAACCCGGCGCCTAAAACCAGAGATGAAATGATTAAATGTAAGTGCATATTTAATTTGAGACTTGAAAAGTAAACATGTCACATAAGCTGCTGTAGTTGTTTAATTAAAATGAATAAAATTATTATAATTGAAAATAAACTTTCTGCAGGGTAGGATGTATAAAAGAAAAGCTGACCTGCATGTAGATAAAGTCAGACTAATTGAATAAATATTCTTCATTAAGGAATCTTCATAAAACACGGTTTTCCAATAAAATTTTTAACCAAAATTTGACATTTTTTTGGGTGAGGGTTTAGTAAGGTCTTGTTCTTTGTTTAGTAAATCCTGAGTTAGACACTGTTAAATTGTTTATTCACTATATATTAAACTTTATTTATTATGACTTGCATTTGTACAGTTCTGTTATGTAAAAATCACTAATAATTGTGTTATTAGTTGTAATGATGCACAATTAATGTTGTCAGACCTTATTATGAAAATTATTATATCACCTAAATGCATGTCATATTGGGCTACAATAATAAATTATTTTTACCAAATAATAAACCTCAAAGTTATTGATCATCTCAATGCAGTTCATAATACAATGAACTTTAATACATAATTAATAAACCATTTAGAAGTGTCTAATTTGGGCTTTACTGAGTACAGAGCAGAACCATGAAAGGGTCCAGCTACTGAATGTAAGGAGATTTTCTCATAAATATTATTTAAGAGCAACAGTGAACAACAACATTTTCTTTCAGTCCGCTTTGAGCCCACGCTGGATCCCAACAGTGCTTATCGTCACATCCGTTTGTCTGAGGGAGATCACAAGGCCACACTCCGTGCAGAGAACCAGAACTACCCGGAGCACGCTGACCGCTTCCTCTACTGGAGACAGGTCATGTGTCGGGAACCTTTGGCTGGAAGCCCTTACTACTGGGAAGTGGAATGGACAGGACAGAAGGTACTGTAGCACAAAACCAATTTGTCATAAAACATGGTTACATTGTTAAAAATGTCCTGGTGGTTTCTTGACACAGCATTAAAATTTTTTACATTCGTTGAATGTATACGTCTCAGTCAGGTTGTCTCAAGAAGCTTTCATTCTAATAAAGGCACATCTTAGCTAAAGGGCACATTTAGAATAATTTGCAAAAGTTTGAACACTCCTGGTCAAATGACATGTTTTGTTGATTTAAGTGAGTAAAACTGGTCTGTGAAAACATATTCTTTGATCTTTCATTAAAACAAATGTGACCTTTAATTGAAGTGCAATGATTAAAAGAAAAAACTGAATTTTATCAGGAAATATTTTTCTCAAATGCATGTGTGCCACAATACTTTGTGTAGCCTCCATTTGCAAAGGTAACAGCTCTAAATCTTCTCTTATAATACTTAATGAGACTGGAGAACACATGGCAAAAGATCTGAGACCAGTCCTCCATACAGAACCTCTCCAGATCCTTCAGATTCTGAGGTCCATGTTTGTGGACTCTCCTCTTCAACTCATCCCACAGGTTTTCTACAGGGTTTAAGTCAGGGAACTGGGATGGCCATCACAAATCCTTGATTCTGCAGTCAGGGAACCATTTTTGTGTTGATTTTGAGGTGTGCTTTGAATCATTGTCCTGCTGGAAGATCCAACCACTGCCTAGTTTGAGCTTAATGTCAGAGGCGGTCAGGTTTTGATTTCATTTCTGCTTGTACTTGATGAAGTCCATGATACAGTATATGAACAAATTGTCCAGGGCCTTTAGAAGAAAAACAGCCCTGAAACATCACCAGTCCACCACCATACTTCACAGTGGGGATGAGGTGCTTTTCTTTGTGTCTACACCAAACCATTCTCTGGTGTTTGTTGCCAAAAAGCTCTATTTTGGTCTCATGGTCCAAATGACGTTCCATTAATGTCTGACAAACTGTATGCGGTTAAATTTATTGATCCTTGGCAGACATTCTGACCCTAAAACCTAACTGAGGTTTGCAGTTCCTCAGCTGTGATCTTTGAAGATTCTTTGGCCACTTGAACCATGCTCCTGACTGTGCGTGTGGTCATTAAAGACTTACATCCTCTTCCGGGTAGATTCTTTACATCTCCAGCTTCTTTAGAATTCTTTATAATTGCGCTGATATTGAAAATGGGCATCTTCAACTGTTTAGCTGTTTTCTTGTAGCCAGTTCCTGATTTGTGCAGCTCAACAACCCTTTGTCACACGCCATTGCTGTATTCTCTGGTCTTTTTTTATCGTGATGGTTGACTGGGGGAATTTGTGACATATATATATATATATGTACACACACACACATACACCACTGTACACCAGTGAAACAGGAAGTCATGACCATTGTTTCTAATCACTCTGGTGAACTTGTGATGCCAACAGTTGTGACACACATAGATTTGAGAAAAAAAATGTCATGATAAGATTTTTTTTTTCTTTCAATCATTATATTTCAAATAAGATTTTTGTTAATATTTTGAATAAAACATCAAAAAGATAAACCATAAAGAAAGTTTACAGCCGGTTTGCTCATGTTTACCAGGGGTGCCAGTATTTGTGGTATTTGTGGAGGGCACTTAAACATAAAATATAAAATGTGCCATATTTTTTGCACTGGCCACATTTGATGTTTTCTTTTTCTTCACAATATGTTAAATTCAGCAAATAAATAGTCATTGTGCATTAAAATGTGCAGAAGTGAAAAAAACATGTTGTTTGACCAGGGTTGCCAAATGTTAGAACTAATAACAGTTTGTTTAACCATTTAACAATTTCAAAAAAGTTTCAAAACGTACGGTACACACCCCAGTCTATACATGCAATTTAAGCTGCAAAAACTTGCCCATCTTGAATTTGTCATGGTTGTGATTTCACAACCATGAACATATTCAATACAACCACTCATTCAGTTTGCAACAGTGTAACCTGGCCATTCACATTGGAGTGATAAGGAGAGTACTGCAGTTTGCAGGAGTTATCTTGCTCCTGACTGCTGGGAAACAAATGTGTCAGTGTAGCCTTCTAGTGAATCCACACATTCAAATGAGTGGCTGGAGCTTATTTCTTCCTCATGTCTCTGAGAATTTCAATCTGAACAGGCCCTTTCAGCCCATCCTGCTTTTTGAATGAGTCGGCCAATCAGGACAGAGATCACTTGCAGTCTTATCAGTCTTAAAGACACAGTAACAAAAATAGCCTGCTAATTCTAAGGAAGAAATGGAGGTTTGAAAATGGCCATGTAAAAAATAATCATTGTACATAAAACCAAAACTGTTATAAGTGTATTTTGAAATGCTGACAAAGGTCCCACCGCCAGGTACAGTCATATGCAAAAGTTTGGGTGCCCCTGGTCAAATTATATGTTCTGTTGATTTTCAATTGAAATGCAAATAAGTACACATCCTCTACCGAAAGCACACCTTTACACATTTTAATACACAATTACTATTCATTTTCTGCTAAAAGAAAAAAAGAAAACATAAAATGTGGCCAGTGCAAAAGTTTTCTCTGTTTTTCCAGTGTTGCTGTACTAAAGTGAAACTGCACAAATATTTGCAGAAAATGCCATATTTAAATATCTTCCCTGTGAAGTATATGAACATATTTTCATTTAGAAAATCAATAAAATATGTAATTTGACAGGGGTCTTTGAACTTTTACAAACAACTGTACGTAGATTAGCCTGTTATTCTAAACAGTCTCCACTAGGTTGAATTCTAGTGGAAATCCAAAATACGTGCTATTTGGTATACTAGACACATTGGTTTTCTATTGCTGTATAATAATAAAGCTATATGTAACTTCTTCCTCAGGTGACTATTGGTGTGGCTTATAAAGACATGGCGCGCTCTGCAGCAGATGACAGCTCCAGATTAGGCCACAATGAGCACTCCTGGAGTCTGTACTGGTCAGGCACTGCCTTCTCTCTGTGGCATGCAGGGAAGGAAACCACACTAGCTGCTCCTAAAGCCCGGCACATTGGAGTCTATCTGGACCAGCAGGCAGGCCTTCTAGCCTTCTACAGAGTCTCTCATAACCAGGCTCACCAGATCTGCTGTGTAGAAACAGAATTTAGTGCACCTCTCTACCCCGGCTTCCGCTTCTGGTCCGGAGTGGGTTCCACAATCACCCTTTGCCATCTGGACTAATAAATGCTGGAGGTTGATGAAAATGAGCTGAATATGTAAATGTGGATTTTCTTTTGTCTGTCACTGCATACTGACGACATCTTTGATTTTGTGGATTTTGTTTAATGCAAAAATATTGTCTGATTCACTCCACTTTTCTGTTTTTCTTAACTTTTAAATAAAATAATACTTTAGTCTGTCAATGATGTTTGTGGAAAAAAGCTAAACTGTTCTATGGGGCCACTAGAGGGTGCTGTGAGCATACAACTCACAAAGAACTATGTAAGCTCAGACGCAATATAAAAGAACTTCAGTATTACTCCAGCAGAGACCAGGAATGGTTTTAGCATAATAACTTTACCTGCACAGTACTCTGGATAACACCAGCTGCTCATTTCAGTGCTTGTGTTTGCCTATTAAGTATTTAGTTTTGCACTGGATCCATGAGGTTAATATAACTAAGAATGGAAGCCTATACTTGCTAATTAGCATAATGCAAACTTCATGCCTAAGTCATAACACATTTGCCTCAAACTGCATAGAGTAATAATATGTATGTGGTTTCTGTGGTTTCTGACATTGTTCATGAAACACTGTAATGGACAAAGCACAGTCAAATTCAAGCTTCAAGATAGCTTGTTCTATTGTAATGTACTTTTTTCCTTTAGAGTTTGCACAATCCTAATTGGTGGGACATAAACTTTCATTACGTCTTTAAATTTGCTTGAATTTGTTGCAGGATTTCTTTATTGAAATGACTAACATTAATGTGTGGTGTAAAATTGTACTGATCTAGGATCTGAATTGCCCAAAAGCATCTTAGCACAAAGATAATTCTTAAATAGTAGAAAGAACATCACACTGAACAATCTCCCTACCAGTTAGAATGATCTTAACACTAAGATGGGAAACTGATTCCAGGAGGATAATATTCTGTCCTGGTAGAACTGTGGTAGTTAAATTGTTCTAAAGTAGAGATTCTACCTAGAGTTTTACATAAGAAATGTAAAGAAGGACCATGACTTCACTTCATTGGACTAAATAACTGTTACTGTTATAAGCCTGTTCTTACCCAATTTTGTCTCCAGTGTAGTCATGACAAAGTTCACCCACTAGTTAGGTCCTTCATCAAACCATGCTAACAAGCTGTGAGGGTGAAGGACTGCATGTGCTTATGAGTCACATAAAGCATCACTGATCTTGTGTGTACTGTTGCTAATGCAGCATCATTGAACAGCTCAAAGCACTTGGAGGAGAATGTTAACTGGTTATTCTGTTTTGTCAGCTGTCGGTTATCATAGTGAGTGATGGGGGAGAAAAAGGGCCCACCCCACAAGAGTGAGGCCAGTTATGCTCTCTTGGACTTCCAGTCCTGGATTGCTGTGGCATCGTCAGGGAACAAACTTGCCACTTCCCAATGACAGGGCCCAAGCTTATCCTTAATGCGTTATCAAGTGTAAATGGAAACTTCTTTGTTGCTCCTTAAGACCTTGTTTGTTAGTTAATGTGGGGACATTGAATATTACATTTTGTTATGCTCAATTTAATGTTTCTTCTTATATTTACTTTTTAAACATCAAATCATGCACTGATCATAAATCAAAACAAAACAAAACAAACAACAACAAAACCCTGTTCCCTGATGACTTTTTTTTGTTAAGTTCACAAGAAAAACAGAACACAAAATATCAGTTTACATGACCATTAGTATCTCATTTCATGTCTTCCTTTATCTTTGCACACTTGGGCTTTGGCCTACTTTTCCACAGTGTTCTCTCACTGGGGCTTTCTGTGTTGTCGCAGCACAAAATTGGATACGCAGAAACATTTAAAAACTGTATGCAGCAGATTTGAGGAAATTATATTAGAGTAGTGAAGTTTTTAACTCTGTTCTAGCCTGTTAAGTTGTTGTCATCTACAGTACAGTGCATAAATCAGAGACCACCCTACATTCATTTAATTTACAGTGAAAACGGCCATTGTGTACAAGTTATTATGTTTTACATATGAGATAATGCAAATGCGAAAAATGAGACTAACAACTGGTCAAGACCTGGTAGACCATCAAAACTGCCACTGGCTGCCACTGTTTGTCTACAGTACTTAAAACTCCACACTATGAGTCTGAAAGGATGTGTAGCTGTCAAGAAGCCCTTACTGAGAAAAGGAAAATTCTCAAATGAAACAAAGAGGCTGCTGGTGTTCTCAGAACAATGGATTGTCCATGCCAGACTTCAGCATCATTAATGTATTGAGTAGTGTTTAATGGCCATTTGGAAAATAACTAAAAGGGTGGGCTCTACTTATAATGGGTTAATCATTATAATTATTTTATAATACAATTATTTATAATACATGGCATGACTTTGTAATGTGTTTAATTATGTCTGTAAATTGTGCAACTGTGTCCCCACATCCGTGCATCATATTTGTGGCTTAATACAAACATGTAAATTAAAGGAAACAAAGGGTTAACAAGAGGCATAGTGTGGCAAAGCGAGGGATGGAAATGAAGAATACAACTAATCCTCCCAGCTAGAGAAAACCTTCATCTAATCCATTTAATGTAAAATGACTAGAAAGGTTGGCCGAGCCAATTCACTCAGCAGTTCACTCTAAAAATAAAGGTTCCATGTTGGCTTGAACAACCTTTACATTGTGTAGTTCTTTGAACTTCAGAAAAGGTTCTTCACACTCACACATCTCATTTACGAAAAAACTTCTTTAAAGAACTATTCACTGAAAGGTTGTTTTGGGGAACCAGAAGGTTTTTTTGTGGCATTGCTCCATCGAAGACGCATTGAAACCTCTAAATTTAACAGTGTAAAATGCAAACCATCTTCAGAATAGCACTTTGTTGTTAGCACCCAAACAACTGGTGGAATGCTGATACGAACTTGTATGAGTGTGCTTGTTCAGAGGACTGTACTGTAGGAGTCACATGATGTGCATGAGATTCCACATAATACACGTCCCACTTATTGCTTATTATCACTGGGACAAAGCCACAAAGGTTCTGCCCATTCTCTCACCTAGAGGAAGCAAGAGGTGGAGTCAGCCAAGGCTTTATAGACAAGTCACCTCCACCTGTGGGCAAACATCTTCCACACAGTAGACATCAGAGAACATCCACACAGAGCAGAATGAGAGGTAAGACTGAGAACAGACCTGTGAAGTTTGGTGAGGTAAATAGGCTGATTTGGTGTCAGATGATGTAAGGAAAACGTTGGATTTCCTTAAAAAAAGTTTTAGATGTCAGCAGATTATTTCTCTGTGTGGGAATTGGAGATATCTATTCAGACCATTTAATTTGATGCTATAATACACTAGCATGGCATTGCTGTCCAAATGTGGATCTCCATTTTTTTATTTTGATTTTTATTTTTCTACATCATTTCAACACAGCAGCTGCCTTTACATTGTTTGAAAACTGCATACTGAATGGACCAACAGAAATGGTCTAAAATTAGTTTGGATGAAATATCTTTACATTAATTTACGTTAAATGGAAGAAAGGTTTTTGAAAAGTTACCATTTTGGAGAGATATGTTTTGAGTGATGATGGCTTAACATCTAAAATATTAGCTATACTTTTTTGAAGTACATTTCTGGTAAAGAATAAATGTGGATTGCCACCTCTAATGAGTGACTTTTTATGTATGACTGTGTTCTCTTTCCTAACCCAGGCATTGTGTTTCTGTGTCTGCTGGGGTGCTCCCTTGCTCAAAACTTGACATACTCTTGGAATGGCCCTGGAGCTTCCAGCCAGGTTGACCCCAACACTGCCAATGGTGAATTGAATGAGAGATAATTCTTTAAAAAATTAATTCCTTGGTTAGCATGCTAATCAATGTAAGGTAGCCTTATCCGAACCCAAAGGCACTTTGCCGACCTCAAGTAATGTCGGCTTAAATGGAGTCAAACGTTAGTTTGCTAACCTAAGAAATGAGCTTTGTAGCGTACCACCTAGAAGGACTTTAGACTGACTGTATGATTTTCCACCTGCAGCGTGTCTGACTGACACAGAGACCTGTGGCTGCTGCCTGATGCAGAAACAAATGTGGAGGATGGAGACTTTCTTCAACATGAGCCTGGCCGAGCTGCAGAGGGGTCTGGAGAGAGCTCAGGGTGTTCTAAACAGCATGCGCTGTGAGCAAGCCTTCTTTCCAAAGTCCACCCATATCCACATATATCTAAACCACCCTCACAAAACAAACGCTACAATAGCTAATAACAAATGACATCCTGCATTATACTCAGCATTATACAAAAGAAATCCCCACAAATTTCCATTCTTTGTTAGCCATGTTGCTATGTGCTCTTTTAAGTAGGTCGATGTTCTTTATTACTGACCATCCCTCTCTTTCTGCTCAGCCAGCCGCAGTGCTTTCTCAGTGGCTCTGACCGATACTCGCCGATGTGTGGGTCCCAACCGTGCTGACGTGGTGGTGCAGTACCAGAGTGTGTTTATTAACCTGGGTGATGGCTACAATGTCAACACTGGTGTATTCACAGTCCCTCGCTCTGGGGTCTACACCCTGGCCCTGACTGTCTACAGTGATGCAGGGGCCGCCGGGGTCCTCCTGGCTGCCTGCGGCCGCATACGCCGGAATGGCCGTGTAATCGCAGCACTTAATGAGTACAACACGCAGGACCAGGAGGACAGCGCCACCGTCGTCCTGGCAGTACAGATGCAGGCCGGGGATAAGGTGGATGTTATTCTCCCTGCCACCTGCTACCTGTGTGACGACAACAGCCACTACAACACCTTCAGTGGCTTCCTGCTCTACGCCACTGACTGAAACCCTCTAGTTCTCTCTCAAATTTGAGGTTGAGAGCACTAAGTCTTCACTCAGTTCTGTGACCATATGTCTACTCCATTACACATTGTAATTTGTCTTATAGGTCCTCATGACCCTTCATAATCAGCGCTATATATTCTCCTCCAATGACATAAATCTCTTGGGCTTTCCTGTTATCACTGAACTCCAGGATCAACACAATAGCCCTATTGTACAGTGTGCACTGTAAATGGACCTCTAACTAAACAGTTTTTTTCTTTTCCTTTTTTTAATCATTAGGCTGATAAGTAAATACCTGATTGTCTGACTGTGATGTTGGTGACAGAGCATCAAATGTGTCTATCCAAGTGAATTGGAAATAAAG